TGCGGAAATATCATCAATTTTGAATTTGTCATTTTAACCTCATTTTAATATCAAGTATAGTAAATATTTAATATCAATATTTTAATATTAAAATGTAAAAGTTAAATAACGTTAAATAATTCAATGAAACTATCTTTATGGATTATATTACGTTAATTTTAACCATAAGTGTCGAATACTTATTTTACAGCATTCGTGGTCACAAGACAGATTGTGGCGTTACCATTAGACGAACTGATGTTTGTTACCTTGGTTCTGTTCGTTTTTAAAAATTATCATGTAAGACCTACACAGTAAGAGCATGAATTGAATCTGGAAGTGGTGCATTCGTTATGTAATTGCGCCTGGATATGGATTTTATTAATTACAAGATCCAAAGCTTTCTAACTTATAGAAAATTGGAAGATTTTTAATTTCGGTAGCGCTGCGGGTCACGTTCAACAGGAATAGGTGTAATTCTACGTGAGAATAATTTCATTAATGACGAGTAGTATTCCCTTAAAGTTAAGAATATATTCGGAGTAATTTCGCATGTAATGAATACAATCGAATTGCCACGAATCGGCCTTCATTTATATGTTGTAAAAAACACAATAAAACGAATGCACGAAACTGGGACGCTTTTCAATTTGGTCGAATTACTGAGCGTATTGTGTTCTCGTATTCATTGTAAAATGCAGGAAATTCAATGAACATCCAAACGCAATTACTGTGAACGTACGTATTGTTCTGGCCTTAAAATATATGCCAAATAAGTTATCTCGTTCAAATTGTATAATTAATCATTATAAACTTTTAAAACTAGACCTAAATATTTTTATTACATAATGAAGTGTGCTTAACTTTGCACTTTAGACTTATACGGGTGAAGACAGGTTCTCTTCACTTATGAGTGCAGAATTCTCTTATATGAGACTCATGCGAGTTGTCGTCAAAATAGTTCCTTCAGGATCCCTCACTTACGTGCAGCTGTGCGGCAGTGTCAATTTTTCCGCAATTTTGTTCCGTACCTAATGTAATCGAATATTCTTTAAAACAAAAAAAAAACTGTGTCAATATCAATTACCCTGATATTTTTATTACATTTTAAAGTTGCAGCATTCTTAATAAAAGCTATATACAAGAAAAACCGCTTCTGCTTCTTATTGGGAAATTTTAAGATTTTCGGAGTAAGGTAAAAAGTATGAGAAGTTTGTCAGCTAGCATCTTGAAATTTTTCAACCTCAAAATAGAAAAAGTCTGGAGAAAAAAATAAGAAAAGTCATTATAAACGCTAGAGCAGTGTAAAATGTGCAGCCAACGTACTTCAGTTGTACTAAAGATAAAACAAGTGGCTACTAAGAAGCGGGAATGGCGCTGTGAACGGAACAAAGTACTTGGAGCTTAAAAAATTCTTCGCAGCAGAGCGCTGCTCTTTAAAGACAGACATAAATAGATGTTCGGTATGTGTTGTTGCTTTTATGAATGAGATTTTCCGTAGGTTTAAATAGAAAATGTTTTGTTATCACCATCTTGCTGTCATTGAAATGATGATAATAATTTGATGCGCCCTTGTAGCGATTGATCTGAGATCATCTATTTAGAGAATTTTTTTTTAAGTGAGTAGGTGGTAAGCGGGCTGGCGGTTCACCTGATGTATAGTGATAACTGCTGCCCATTGATATTTGCGACACCCGTAGGGTTATGTAGATGTGTTGCCAACTTTAAACAAAATACCCCCCGACGGAACGCAAAAGTATAAAATTTCCACTTCACGGCGGGCTTATGTGTACTTCACCAGATGGAAAAGCCCATTCGCGCAACAGCGATGACTGTTGCGTGGCCCTACCAAAGTTGACAAGAATATAATTTTTGTAGCTTAATTTTTTTTCTTTTTAAAACACGCTTTTATAGCTCGTTAATGAAGGGCCTATTCTTCCCTGTTAATGTGAAAATTATAAATCGTTGTTATGCTATGATCGATATATCGTTTAAAATGGCGGTTTTTATGTATTCGTTCATAAGTCCAAGAATCGGAATATGTCTAATTAGATAAACAAATATTCTCCTATCAACCTCAAACAAAAATGCTTCACTTTACAATATTAGCCTTGTGTATGTGCCTAATCAAAATTGAAGATTAAATAAAATAAAATAGAAGTTAACAAAGCAAAAAAAAAATGTATCTCATGGTATTTTCACGTATTTTTTTTAATTCTCACATAAAAAAAGAAAAAAACTTAGTGACTTAAGAGACCCTATGGTTTCTTAAAAACCAAAAAGGCATTTCGTAGCTCCTCTGGGGGTCATTCATGCTCGGCGGTGGCAAATTTTCACCATGCTTCAAAAAAGAAGGAGGTTCTCAATTCGACTGTATTTTTTTATGTTTGTTACCTCAGAACTTTCGAGCGAGTGAACCGATTATGATGATTCTTTTTTTATTTGAAAGCTGATGCTTCCCATATTGTCCCGTATTATATATAATTTCATTGGTATTGGATCATGGGCTCCAGAGATACTTAGGGAACTCCGGAAAATCAATTATAAAATGAAATACACAGGGAGACATTTGAAGTCGGTTTTGATTTTCGTTAATAAAAAAATGGACTTGTTGGAATAGCCGATAAATAGATAGCCGAATATTACATAGTTTGCTATGTAATATTCGGGGCGATGGCTTAATGAGCCAAGAAGCACTTAAGCACTTTGCTGTAGATCCACTAAGGGTCACTTATTCATGTACGTAACGAACCGAACCTCGCCTTAAATTGTAATAACAGTTAAAACTTGCTTCGACATGTGAGAGTAGGTCGTAGCTACACAGCTGAAGATATTTTTAAATATTTTCCCTAGTCTTTATAAAATAGTGTGTTCTTCTTTATAAAACTTCTGCGTTTAGTCCAGTGAGTGAGGTAGCCGGGGCCCACTTTATTAAAAGGTGGCAACGCATCTACAATCCTAAAACCAACCCGCCAGCTCGATTGCCATCTCCTCAGATAATAATTGCCATACAAAAAGGTAATACATTTGCTTTTCATCTGGTGATTGAGATAACCGGGGCCCAATCTTTTAAAGTTTGTAACGCACATAACGGACTTGATGTCCATGAATTACTTAACTATCTAACTAATCTTCTTTCTTCTGACCTTATCCCCAAGTATTGGCTAGATTTTTTACGACCGGTTGCCAGCCTGACGTCAACCTTCCTCGGGTATAAACACACAGATCTGGAACGTATCTGAGCATCACACCTACTATATAGCTTTCAATCACGCCACAGTTATAGTTCTGAATTACATGCCTTGTAAATGCGAATCATCTACAAAGCGGACATAATAGGCATGACAGATATTGAAAATGCACTTCACGTTTCTCTCAGCCTGCTTAATTTTGCCTCAACATACTTCTCTTATGAAAATAAATAGAAACAATACGTACATAAACATCCAGATATTAGATAAACACTATGTATGAACATAGTGTTACAAACAATATTTAAGCAATAGTAAGGGGTCGAACCCACACCCTCTGGCGCAACAGACAGGTTCACAATCCACTAAACCGATCGGAATAATTAGGAAATAATTTAAAAACCGAAAACACACTAGTAAGAGCCGTGATGGATCATTGTCTGGGCGCTCCTTTTTTATTCAATATTCTCGAGCAACCTGACTTCGTTCCCCGGTGCCAGCACCAATGAAATTGTTAGTTTTAAGTGCTGACTTATCATGTGCTAAGCGGTGAAGGAAAACATCGAGAGGAAACTGCATATTTTCGAAATAATAACAAAAAATATTTCGAGGATCTGTGAATTACGCCAATCCGCAGCACGTGGACTATGCCATAATACCCTCTGTACAGAGGAGGCCCTGCCCGGCAGTGGAACATATATGGGCTTTGTTTATGTTACTTTACACTGGTACATGCCACTGGGCTTCAAACCCGCAACCTCAACAGTCACTACACTATTACTGTTAATACAGCAGCGTTTTAACATTTAATTTATTCAGTACTAAATATAGGCTTATAATAAAAAAATATTCGGCTTGGCTATAGATTTATGAACATCGCGAATGTGTCGCAAAAATTCCGACCTAATAATGTGAGCCATATAAAACGCTACTTACATAATAACAGGTTGTTATTATAGAAATATATTGAGCTTGTATAGTACCTATATATTAATGATAGCTTTTAGCTAGCACAGCAGTCTGGGCCTTCCATTTCATACTACTCAATCGATCTGCGTTCAAACTTCGGTGTGGATGAATAGTTAATTTCAATTGCGAGTGTTGATTTACGCGGTACTCGTAAGTTTATTGATGAAGAACAATATAAGAAGTGAATTGAGCTGATTTAACAAATATCTAACTAAACTTTAGTATAAATTTACATATCGTCTTTTATTTAACAGTAAATTTGTTAGTAAATTTTACAATGAAGAACATTTGTTTCGTTTCGGCCTTCTTTACAAAAACACGCTCGTGCTTGTTAATTTTTCTTTTTGATAAAATTTAAATCTTTGCCATTTGCATACTAAGATCGTCCTTCTATCTTTGTTCCGTTTTCATTAGTCATACACGATTATTCATTTTCCTAATGGCTTTTTACGAAGATTTCCTAAAAAAAGGTCTGCACCTAGCAGCCAGGTGTGATGGTTATATAAATAAAAATATATTGTTTTAGTATTAAAATTATCTTAATAAATGGTTAGTTTAAAATTATGCAGATTTTAAAAATGAAGTTTTTCAGCAAATAGATCAGATCGAAAAATGAATACACTTGTTCCGAGTTACGATGCGATAATGATCCCGCGTATAAATGTAAAAGTCGGATTGTCAAGAAATAATATAACGTAATTTTTAAAAGTGAATTGACAGAAAATTTTAAAATGAAATTAATGTCTAATGGCCTCATTAGTTATTTCGATAGGTTTTCTTTATTGATTTGTTTCTTATGAAAAGTTAATTACTAAATTTAAAAATTTGTACCAGAACGTTTAGTCGTTTCTTTGTTATTTATCTACGCTTAAAATAACTTTCTAGTTTCCTTTCCAAACTCATTCCATCGCAGCAATCTGTGCAGCATTGTAGATGATCGCCACCACCGCTGCAATAAAAAAAAATCAAGTAAAAGTTACCATGTAAGTTATATAGGAGGTAAAAAAAAAGTGGGTATAGTTAAATTTTGTATCATTTGGCTTTTTCTTGAATAATTAAGTTTTTTGGTCTGATTTGTTAAAAATACTATAGTAATTTTGTAGTGACGAATAGAGGGAAATGTATTTAGATGCGTGCGATTTAACGTCATTAACAGACGCAACCCTGTCCATCGACAGCCACGACCACGCTGCCAAGAGCGTCCGACTAAGAAGAAGAAGAAGATGTAAAATCATTAATACCTTTATGATTAATACTATAAGATGATCTTCTTATGTAAGGAATAGAATCAAATCAAATCATTAATTCATCGAAGTAAGAAATATACATTTCATCTATCGATAGTCATTTTTAAAATCTACCACCGTTTTGTAATGAGGTTCCTCTAACAGAAAAGAAACAGGCGAAATAAACTCCGTAGGTAACCTCTTTTTTGTCATTTTTTTTCCTCAAACAATTCCATGGTTAAACATTACATATTTATTTCGAAACAGCTTAGTAGCGATCATCTCATTCCCAGGGATTGTTATTATTAATGTATTTATTTATATTATAATAATCCTTTTCAAAAAGTTTTTCTTGAATAAATTTCTTAAACCTGTTAATAGACAGGCGCATTAACTAAACGAAAAAAAAAAAGAAATATGTGATGCGGCGAGTATCTAAAGACCTATAACTCCTGTCTACTCCTCTGCGTTTCTATTTATATTAGTATTTCTATTTAATTTCTTATCATGTTCTGTAATTTGCAGGTAGTTGATATAAAAAGTTTGTCACTGAATTTCGGGGTTTGAGGTGCAAAGAGAGGTCTTCTCTGGTCTAGATTTACTCACGGCAAATTTTCGCCGATCCAGGTGCAGTAACAACTTATCTTCGTGCCGATGATGATGTGCTCTTCGTCGTTAAAGAGATCACCGGCGGATAAAGCGACAAGATGATTCCTGTGTACAGCCGGTGCGCCCGAGTTACCCTTCAATACCAAACGTTTAATAATCATTTCTTGCATTGACACAGATGCTGCTGGAAGGGTACTATGTTACAAACTTTTATAAGAGGACCAACGAGGCATTTGCTGCCTCGCACAACCACTCTATCGAACCAGCTGTCGCCAGCGGTCTTTCCGAATCGTTAGGACATGGGAAGCTACAGGAAGAGAGCATATTCTTAACTTGAAAGGCCGGCAACGCATTTGAAAAGCCTCCGGTGTTGTATATATTCATGGGCGGCGGTGATCACTTTCCATCGAGTAAACCCCTACTCATTTGGGCTCCTTTTCACATAAAAAAAAACGCCATTGCACTTGATGGTAAGCCGTGCCTCAAAGATAATGATTTTCGATGTATTTGGACGACCGATATTTGCACTTTCAGTCAGTGGATGCAATAAAGCTTCATCGGGTATACAGCTCGTGAAAAGGCTGATTTCCTATGAACTCGATTTCCTACATAAGTAGCAATGACGTCATTTTTAGGGATCTAGGAGGGATTGCTTTTATGATGCTACATAACTATGTAGCAATGCCCCATTTTTTCCTAATTTTTACTGTCAAAACTGCAGAAGAGTGTCAAATCTCGGTAATATCTGTAAAATAGTTAGTTTCCTCGAAACAATTGTGAGTAAGAATAGTTTGAACTATTCAGAGCACTGACATTTAGTGTTCATATTTTAATCTCAAACAATAAGCAAGATATTTTTATTGCTAAGTATCGTTTCTGTCTTGTCTGATTTGTCAGTGTAATAGCGGCATGTTATTTTTTTATGTGTATTCGGCATGTTACAATTAGCTTCATCATTTTATGTGTTGTCCTAATTTAAAGAAAAAAGACCGACCTGAACTTTCTTCGGGCCTTTTGTGTAATAACAAATAGTCTTGTTTTCGTTCACTGGAAAAGAGTGAAGAGTTAATTAACATAAAGTATATGGAAATTAATATATCCCTAATAGATTTTCTCACCTATTTGATAGACGGGTGATTTGGCTTTTTGTACCAAGTGCTTACACGAGTGTGCCTCAAAAATCGTGTATTCTTCCATACGTAGTATACTTTCCTGCAACGGTAGATAAATTAATTATATTTCAAAGTATTTTGAAAACCACATAAGCCTCAAATAAAGACAACCTTGTGAGTTGTATTTTTACATTTTTATTATTCAATTTAATGAACGTACGTGGTTGTTTGTTTTTATCGTTGTAGACTGAAACAAAAGAGCTGAGGTTACAATGACTATTCCTTATTTAAACAATATTAACTATTATGATTATATATAACACATTATATGTTTTGAACAAACCTTTATGTGTTCATCACTGTTGGCATGAATATTATCGGTCAGAAATGGGCGCGTGACTCCACTGGGAAAATATTCATCCTAGTAACATTAACGATTTTAGAAATCGACTTTATTACTAGTCCTATTTACGGAGAAGTAGATGCAAGAGACCTTAAAGTCTTGTATCTTTTTATTTTCTAATACTTTAATACCGCACAAGTGGTGTTGGTTGATATTTTATGAAGTAGTTAATTTTATCAAATTAATTGGTGAATCGACTATTTATTTAATATTTTTTTATAGTTATGGATTATTTTCTACTTAAATTATTTCCTTTGTAAAATAAACAGGACAATAATCACAACTACAATAATTAACAAGAGAATTTAAAAAATATTTAAAGAAGCGAAAAGAATTCTGCTTGTCGATTAATTAATTCATTAGCGATTTTTCTCTATTGTTTAAAATTTCTTCTATTGAAATATGTTTTAAATTTACCATTAGGTATTACATTACCTTCTCTTCGGATGATTCCGAACAACTGTCACTGTGTAACGATTTTTTAGTACTCGGCGGTGGCTACAAGAAAAAAAACCGCATTATATTTGCAACGGCCCGTAACAGAAAAGTGTTTGTGTGAGTTTTTAAATTCACTCTAGAGACCAAATACAAATCTCGGTACCGACCAAGTAATTTTTGTAATTTTAACAAATTTCGAACAATTTAAAAAATATTTTAAAAGTTATTTCCTTTAAAGTGGTTGCGTCCACGTGGACTCTAAAAAGGGGGAGTTAACAAATCACACACATACATATGTATGTACTTCATTTGATTTTAAAGAACCCTTGCTATAACCATTCTGTTTTAGAAGGACATACATAAATAAATAAAATCCACGCGGAGGAACACCCACATCCGGAACAATTATTTGTGAGTCACATAATTAGCGGCTGTGCAAACTAGGCATCAAGTAAAGGCTTAAAAAATAAACTTTTATATATAATACATTTCATGATGCAATTATGCGATTACAACTGCCGTTACAACTATTTAGAGCACCCGTAGGGTTACAAATGCATTGTCACCTTTCAGTAAAGTGGGCCCTGGTTACGTCACTCACCAGGTGAATCGTATAATACGTCCACTTCACTCCGGTCTACTGTGAAGTTGAGGTACTTCCCCGGACGGACCTGCCCATTGGTGCGACAGCGAAGACTGCTGCGTGGTCCTACCACAGGCAACATAACAATTAGCGGTGGTACATACGTTTCTTTTTATTTGATTCCAATTTAACACGGTGATGTTGGAATGTACAGAAGAGAATGAATTCCCTTCCGCCAAGGGTATTATGTTACCGGGCTTATCCGACATCATTCCCGCGAAAGTGTACACGAGCGCTAAATCCGCGGTCCACCCCTTGTAATCGGGGTGAATTAGGACGCGCTCTATTGGCAAATATTGTTCGTATCCTGTATCGTACATGTTCTTGGTTCCAATGATCACAAACGAGCCCGTGAGCTCCGGTTGCAGGAAACTGAATTTATCTTCTTCACTGAAATTTTGTGATGGAATTGTTACTGGCAATTATTCTTATGAAGGCTTCAATTTAAAATAGTTAAAAAAATACTTACAAACAGTGAGCAGCTGTTAAAACTACGTTATCGTGAATGATGGCTCCGGTGCAATTTCTTCTTGATCCATCGTTGAACATAATTCTAAAAGAAAAGAAAAAATCCGACAATTTTATTATGTCGCATACTTTTTTTATATAATAATATGTAGAAATTCTTCAGTAAATAATGTAGGAAACAAAATACAGTGCAGCGTACAGTGTTTTTAACATAAAGATATACACAACTCTTTGTTATTGTATAGACACATACAATTGTTACGTTAAAGAAGTATGACTTCATACGTGCGTACATAAGTACAAACATTTTTTTTATTTGAGGAGTTGGTACACGAGTATGTAGTTAACCTTTTGTTAAATGCTTACCGCTGCTCATGGACATACACAGCACCCGTGCTACATTTGACTTGCCAACTATATTACTACAACATGAATAGTGGGTCACGGCTACCTCATTCACTAAAAGAAACGCTAGAGTATAATACTGGTAAAATACTTACGCTTCGCGCGTATTTATTAATATTTACAACTAGAATAATGTCAAAATTTACTGCCGCTATCACTACTATTTCTCTCGTAAACTTGATTAATAAATATTGTTACTAACACTAATATGCGAACTGCAATAATTCTTAATTTAATTAATTGTTTATCATAATTACTCTATTAGAGCCACAAAGGAGTAGTGATCTGTTATCTCAGGTGGATCAGTTTGTTTTAATTCTGCCATCTTTTGTTTTTGCAGCTGCTGTTCAATTGAGTCGTTGTGATGTTTCACATAGATTGTTTCTATAAACAAATAAAAACAATAACATTAGAACTTCTAATTTTAGAATGGGTACTGTATCCCCACAGTATGCGTAGTGTCATTTGTTAGTACTTTTCTGTTAGCATTGTGAATAACGCCATGTTGTACTTTATAAAATTTATTGGACACACATTCATCGTATTGTTGTACGATTTATAAAAATAACAATGTATGAAGGTAAGTAGGAATAATTATTGTGCTTTAGTTTAATTAAAAAAAATCAAATTTATTTATAATTTGACTCCCTTACCCTAACGTTAAATTTAGATTACTTAAGACTTAGATTACTGTAGCATAAGCCTAATATTAATACGATCATCTCGGAGCATTAATTTTCATAACAGAATGACAATTTTCTTACCGTTTTTATTATATAGTAATTGGCTTTTGACTGATAGAAAATGTGTTATGAAACAAAATGCCGCCAAATGAACAGCGAACTCTGGTTTAAGAATTAAATTCATTTCTAAGAACGTATTCGTTTATAGACATTCAATTAAAACTACAATCAAGTTTGATAAACCGGTGACGTAAGTTTGATTGCGGCACGAATTTACAGCATCAGTATAAATTCAAATATTGAGTTAATTTTGGTTTGATCAATTTTATGAACAAGTAATTTTAGATCTGGTTAGCCTTTGATACATAATTGTAGTGGTATAATAAATAGTTTTCGACATTATTTGAAATTTTGTGGAAGCAGAAAAAAATTGTCTTAGATGATTTGTTAATTAAGAAAAAATATTTAATAAAACGTTATACTTTTAGTTATATTATTATTTTTATACTTGTATCTACTATTAAGGGTTTTATTTAATTTAATAATATAATTTTTGGAAAACGGTATTTATTTTTAAGTGCTTATTTGTTATTTATATAATTTTATGATTTAAATTTTTGTGAGAATTTCTTTAATTAATTTTCCTTCTTTAGCTTTTAGATCAAAAGAACCAATTGGTAAAAGCTATTTATACTTATTACATTTAGCTGTACTATTTGTATTTTTAGAATGTGACGATTTTGTCACTTTTATGCTTTTAAGCGCATAAGCTAAAATGTGATAAGAATTCTTTCAATTGTTTCAATTTTGAACCAACTAGATTGTAAGCCTTTGGTAATAAAAACCTTAAATTAATTCATATATGAAACGATTCATATTATTTCACTCTAAACTTTGCTGTAAGTGCCACATTTTACTATTGTTAAACATCAGTTTTATAAGCGAATTAAATTTTCGAAGCATTACAAACATAAAATAGAAACAAAATTTCCCGAGCGTGCAAACTTTGTCATAAATTACTACACATTTAATAACGTTTTACTTGGCATGGCGGCGTCCAACGTTTTAAAACTTTAGTTTTAAAGTCCCGACTTAAATTATTTAGTAATGCTTTCAAAACTCTGATGAAAGACCTACTAAGGTTATATTTGGGGTCATTTGGAATTATTAAATTTTAATTATACATCTGGCCAACAAAAACTTAAGTAACATAAAGGTTAAAAGTAACAGAAGACCGACAAAATGTAGAATTATTTATGCATTTGTATTGTACTTGTATATAAGTGGGGTATCCTAGGTCCACCCTTGTAAAGTTTCACAAAGCAACTGCAAACTTGAAGTTGTGTACATTGGTAATTATTCCATTTCAGATAAACTTTTTCCAAATAAAAAAAATATATTAAACATAAGGGGCGTAATAAATTCTGTATCATAATTATTTGAAAGTGCGAGAGATAAATTGAAACACGTAGTTTATAAAATCTATAAAACACACTTTTATCATGCACTAAATTTAGTAAAATGATTTAAATGACTTGGATAAGTTAAGATAAAATTACCAATGCATTTAACCCTTGCCAATATTTTAACTTCATTTGAAGAGAAAACGCAAACATATATATCTTTCAAATGATTACATGGTTTCAACTGATTAAAATTTTCCATTCGTCGTTTTCATTGTGTTGCTCTTTGCTTTTGTTAAGGTTTGTTTCATTATTATTTACCATCATATTGTTCCTACAAGTTTCGGTCAACTCTACAGTCAACCTTTAGGGTTAAACCAGAGCGATATACAAGTAATCACAGAAGAGTTACTATCCAACTCTTGAAACCATCACCTGGCCCTGGTTACCAAGTCTAACCTGTTGGTCAGTTCAAAACGTATCATGTGGGCTTAAAGCCGAGGGGTTTACTTATAGCCACTGTGTTTTACTATCCCCCTCATGGCTCCATCACCAGATCTTCGTTACACAGCCTTTTTATTGGACTCGCATAAGGCCATCCATCCATCATCAGATCAGCTCCAAGATTCGAAATTGTAGTTTTAATATCCGAGCCACATATCTGTTCGAAATTTCATTTCGATATGACAGTTAGAAGTATGTTTAAATTGACTTCTGATATTTTATTACATTGTTTGTTAGTAACAGAAGCTAATAAAGGTGTTTAAGAAATAAAATTACGTTATATGTAAATTTAAGAAGTTAAAATAACTCTTATGTATATTGTTATATGAAAACATGTCATATTTCACAGCGTGTACCAGGTAGATAACGTAATAAATAGATGAACGACGCAGATTTTGTCTCTGATTCCGAGTAATATAAATGTTAATTCAATATAACAAAGCGCCGGCACGTGTGTAAAAGTACACCCTGAAATCTGAAATCTCATTATTAAACAAACCTACAATATGTATTCAACATTCATTTGCCCCGAATGGTTAGACCGTAATTTATATGAAAGCAAATCTTTACTTCTGAGCTTATGCGAGGGCTTTACGATATTTTCTATAGTTAATGATGACAGATAGGCACGGACTCGCCCAAAATGGTTCTCTTTATAGAGATTACCTTATATAATTGATAAGGGATCAAGATAGCGGGTTCTTTACTTTTTATTTATCGTTTAGGTATCACCCAAATTGAATTTAAAAATAATTGTTGTTCCTTATTGTTGTAGTTGTACCTAGGAAAAGTTTATAGCGTAGCAGATAGAAACATGGCAAAAGATAATTCTGATAGGAATAATAAGCCTGAACCTCCATCAATCACTGGCGCCCCACACTGGTGTCTGCATTATAAAAGATATTGATGACTCGGCCTTTCAATTTCAATTTGATTTTCCTTACCGAGTTGAAAACGGAGCAAGGGAAAAATTACGATTTACGGCGTGAAAAATTTCACTGGATTTATTATGTTCATCTGAAACTGTTTTGTACGAACTATTCAATATTTAATCTTTTAAATAAACAACTAAAACATAATATATTTTAATATATATTCATTGCGATGTTCAGTGGGTCGACGGTGTCATATGAAGGTGGCATTCTAACATATTTCATGTGAAACAAAGTATTACTTTCTAATAGTAGTGAGCAATTATAAGATTTCAGGCTAAGTGACGTTCGCTATAAAACCTTACCGCCTTCATTGGGTGGAGGTACTGTTAGCTTATGTCATTATTATTTTTCTTACATATAAATAGCTTTTGCCGGCAGCTTCGTCAGCGTGGGTTTCGATTATCCCACTGGAACGTACTACTGGGATAAAAAGTACCCTATGCCATTCTATAGGGTTCGTTTAGCTCACATCTGAACTGTGATTTTAAAGTGTTTTTATGAACCCAATGTAAATCAATGTATGATTTAAATTCGTAAGTAGTAATGCATACTTGGTAATTACTGCTTTTAATAATACTTGGTCAGTAATGCATACAGCTTTACGCATACTTGGAAACTACTTTGCTTGATTGTAAAAGAAATAATATAATTTAAAAAATCTCTAATAGAAGTTAAACATCCTGTAAAGAGATTATCACGTATGAGGAACAAAAGATTAATGAATTTGAATTTCTTTTGAATTGGTTGGTAGTCACGGAATGCTGAAATTTAAGGCTGAAAGTTTTTGTCTGAAGATTCCTTTCATTAGAAAAATAAGACACAAAACAAAGATTAAAGCATTGCTTCAGTACATTGAATTAAAATCGAGCGCCTTAAGATTGAACAATCGCGGCCGTCCTTTACATCTCTTGAACTAAAAATAGGGAAAAAATTGTTTTCGACCTCTATATCCTCAAATATTAATTACACTAAGTTGAAATTACCTTTATACCATTAGAATCAATATTAACAATATTATTATAATCTATGATCGTAAGATTAAAGTTTAAATGAAACATGACATTAATAAAAATATTAATGGACATAGTTTTTTGCCTATACATTGTTGGTGTATAATACCTTTTACCATTGCACTTACTACTTGTGCTCTAAGATACGTCTACATACGCCTGAAAACATTTTCATGTCACGCACACATTTCTCAAAAGTTTATGAAACTCAAAACAAAAATGTATAATGCTTATTAATTGAAAATTGACAAACCGCGTGGTTTTTTACAAGATAAATAACTGTTTAAATCATAATTTTTCTATATTTTAGAGGTCTTTTTGAAAACTGTTTACTTATAATCTTATCTAACATATAAACTCTAAGGATAAATAATTCTTACTAATTGTGGGGCAAGTAGGTTTATTGGAAGCAGTAAAGAGTGATTATGTAAAGTCTTCATTCTAACTCTACTCAAAATCTATAAGATAATCCACACTTGTTAATTAAATGCTGTTATATAAAAATAAATAAATGTAAATATGTAATAAATATATATATTAATTTATGTTTAAGTTATATAATTTCCTGATAATTATGGTATAAGCTGCTTGAGAGAGGGCCGTTCGTTTTCAACCTTGTCCGAAATAATGTCAGACACGCGTAAATTTTAATTAAAAGATAACATGAGAATTGATTAAAATATTAAGTAACTAAGAGAAATATCACACTCATCAGCCCTTTTATATTGAAGTGACCTAAGCAGATCGTATGAACAACTTCACGATAACTTGTTTTACAAAATTTTAGATATATATTAAAATTTGTTAGCAGCCTGTTTAAAACTTGAAGAACGAAGTTTTGGGAAATTAGAAGCCTTCAATGTGCTAAATATTGTAAGTCTACGGGGGATCGTTTATGAGTTCGCGAAATAAAAGAGTATGATTGAAAATAATTAACCAACACTAATATACATATTATATAATAATATATATTATTACCCAACATCAACCAACCAACCATAATTAAAAAACAATTATATTGAATATATTCACTTGAAAGATGAATATATCAATATACATTATTATACAGACATTTCAATTTCAGCTTATGCATTTTTCTCTTATGTGAAAAGTTAACAAGTGGGAAGGCGGATCACCAGATATTTAGTGATTACCGCGCCCATGTCGACAATGGGTTCCAAGAGACTGATTACATGAATTTTCTGGCCAGCTGGGTCACATTAAATTAGCGTAAACTTACCACTAGTTTTTTTAAACTTCTAAACCAGACTTTTTTACGCCGTAAGCTATAGAATAGAGTTTATAAAATAATAAAGAAATTTTAATAACAAC